CTGCCCATGGCAGGGGGTCGGACTCGATCTGTCTAGGTCCCTTCCGACCCATTGATTCTATGATTCCATATGTCTATGATGTTCCCATGGTGACCTTACTAACCATCCAATAAAAGAGAGTTCCTTCCTCCTGTGCTTTAACCAAGACACTATAATTGAAACCCAAACTTTTCCTTTGCCTCCCACTTACTGACCCTCCTGTCTGATCTGTGTCTTTCTAATGTATTGTTCTATACAAATTTATGGTGGACTCTCACCTTGAACATGCTGTGCAGTTCTGCATCTCAAAAAGGATGTATTTAGAACTGGAAAAAGTACAGAGAAGGGCAACCAAAATGATCGGCAATACAGAGCAATTATCATACCAGAAGAAACTGGCTAGGAATCTTCCGTTTGGAAAGGAGAAGGCTGAGACATAGTGAACAACAGTTCCCTATTCACTTTGTCCACCACCAATACAAAGTCAAGAAGGGTATGGATGAAGTGAATGGTGAATTGTTATTCACCAAGTCCCAGAATACTAGAACTAGGGAGCATCCTCTGAAAATAGGAGACAGGTTTAAAACTAACAAGAGAAACTTCTTGTTTTAGGCAGTGTGTTTGCTACCTTATGGAACTCATTGCCACGAGAAGTTGTAGAAGCAGATAGCATAGCCAGATTCAAAAAGAGGTTAGACAAATTCATGTATGACAGATCTATTAACAGTTAAGCAGAACAGTCGGAGATGTTTCCTTTGGCATCTTTAAACCAGTGACTGTGGATGCCAAGGACAGTAATGAATGGGGGGGCAGGTCACTAGGTATACCCTGTTCCATGCTGTCCCTCCAAACCAGGGGTGCTCAAACTCTCGCCTCCAGCACCGTGTTGTCTGGCCTGTGGGGAGCCCCCATGGGCCTGCATGCTAGATCAAGTGCATAGGGTAGTGTGGGGTCTGGTCCCAGTGCACAGGAGTTGGGCAGGGGCAGTGTGGGAGCTGCCAGAGTCTGATTCTGGCTGGGTGGGGGCAGTGTGGTGCCCCTGGAAACTGATTTTGGTGCATGGGGGCTGGGTGGGGGCAGTGTAGGGCCCCTGGCATCTGATCTGAAACTGAGCACCAGTGCTCTAAAGCATCTGCTCCTGCCACTATCAGCCTATTGGACTAGATAGACCATTTGTCTGAGCCAGTATGGCACATCTTATGTTCTTATGTTCTCTTGCACTGCCTTTGTGTCCTTGATAGCAATGATCAGTTGGAACCTTAGGGTTCCTGGCTGTTACTGTGAGCTGATCTCTCATACTTACTCTGTTTTATCTTCCTTCCAGGTGGTATACTTCACTGCTACGTTCCCATACCTTATGCTCGTAGTTCTGCTGATCAGGGGAGTCTCTCTGCCAGGAGCTTTCCAGGGGATCCTGTTCTATCTTTACCCAGACCTCACTCGTCTCAGGGACCCCCAGGTAAGATGGAAGGAGGATAGTATGGTTGAGCTGGGCTATGATGTGTGCATGTCTCTTTCCCATTCATTCCCTTCCTTATCTTCTCATCCCCATTTTCCCTCCTTTCTCTAGTTCTCTTTCTTGTTCTGCTCCAACACTTACTCTTTCTTCTTCATTCTTTTTTCTCTATCTCTTGTTTTTATTCCTCTATGAACTTAGTCCACACTGATGTTGGTAAGTGTGCTGCTGACATCACCAGCTGACCTCACTGGTCTATTCTGTTCACTCTTCTATTCTTCACTTTTCAGCAGAGTTGCTGAAATCCCAGAGTCCTTTACCTCTGGTATGGCTTTTGGTGGGCTGGGGGCTGATGTGAATGGCAGGTGATGAAGGCTGTAGACACTATTAATAGGGCCTCTCAGCTGTTTGGTGACACTGTTTTCTGGAGAAACTCAGGGTAAAACTCTACCCTTCTCCAAACGTAGACACAGGGATTGTGAAGCCCCCAGAAACTATGCATTTTATTTCTTTATTTTTTTAAGGATGTGCTGCCATGACAAATGCCATTGGAGGCCATCAGCTCTTCATAACCCCTCGTGCAGTATGTTGGGGGAGGGTACTTCTGAACACTGCTGTAATGTCAGTCCACCAAAGCCCCTGATCCCAGTCCCCCTTGTTTTCCTCTCCACCCCCCTTCCCTCAGTTAGAAATTCCTGCCAGTTTGACTGAAGGTTCAGTGCCCGACTGCCGTTTTTAATCTCTTCAGGACAAGTTCTTCCACGTTAAATCCTGGCTCCAGCTGAGCTGCTGTACCAGTCTTTGTGCGAAGGTGTCTCCAAAGGAGATTAAAGGGTGCCTGCCTGGAAAATAGGTCAGCAAAACCCCTCGTAACCCTTTTTAACCCTTTCTGGTCCAGCCAAAGCATTTTCTCTTTGCAGTCTGTTGTGTAAAGGCGCAGGGAGGTGTGGCCCATGCTCAATCCATCTCCTTCAGTGAACCTTCCTGTGCACTGAGAATGCAGCTCTTGGGGATGAGGAGCATTATCTAATGGTTCCAGTAAGGGACTTGGAGGCAGGATTCCCTTGTTTCAGTTCTTAAAGCCAGAGAAGCTGTAGCTGAACTGAGTTGGTCACTTTGACCAAAACTCTCAAGCCTGGGTGCCCACTGTCAGCTGCCAGCATTTGAGTTTAGGCATCTTGTTAAAAGTAGCTTGGTTTTTATCTAGTCAAAAACAGGGGAAGCTAGAGCTGCTCCGCACTTCTGCAAATCACACTTACCCGTGTGCCCAAGGAACGACTCCGAAGCTTAACTAATAATGCTGCCTTTTGTCTTGCCATTTCTCTATCTGTACAAGGGTAGTGCTGGTACTGACCTCCCTCACTCTAAAACCTCTTAGGACTTGCCTACATTAGGGAGCTGAGGCTGCTTATTTATAGCTATTACCACAGAGTCTCTTGGCAGAGCCCCCTAGTGGTGATGCAGCATATGGCAACAGAAGTGGTTTTTTATGCCAGGATGACATTTGCCTTAGCTGGCAAAGCTCTCATCTCTTGGCAGAGATGAGTCCAGACTGAGTGTTGCCTGCAAAACTTTGTAGTATAGAACATACCTTAGCATGGAATTATTCAAAAGCAGCTAAATGACTTCTCAGTCTATGCTGGAAACTTTTGCCGCTATAGTAAGTGTTGGTTAGGTGTGAGGATTTTTTTTTAAAATGACATTTGTATAAGATTCACTTATACTGGCATAAAAGTCCTTTGGCCAAAACAGCTTTTTTCACTCAGGGAATTGGTATTACCTGTAGAAGGAAAAGCACATTTCTGCTGATATGAAATGTGTCTGTGCTACTAGCCGAGCCTTTATAGTGTCATCCAGGCTGTAGAAGCACAGTCCCTATTGAGAGTCAATGACCCCCATCTCTATGAGGCACTACTGAATATCCTAGCTTGGCTACTTATAACTAACTGAACTTCTTTGGTGGAAGTAGTTTGGAAATGCAAAGTAAACCCCCACACAAGACAGCCTCAAAGAACCTAATAAGGCTAGAACCCATAAGATGGAGAGTTTATTTCCTTAAAATGTCAGGTTTAGGAAGTGCTTTGTTTCATGGCTGATCCTTCTCCCTCTTTTTTATAATCCTAGTGAATTGCACAGAAAGTAATCACTTTTTGATTATTCTTGATCATCCTATAGAATTTAATAGCAATGCTCTGAACTTCTGTTAAGCTCTTGAAGACTTTCCCACAGGGGAAGCAATGGGCTCGTTAGCATGTAAAAACTGACACATACCTGGTCCCAAAAGCTCCTCTGCACTAGGATAGTAGGGCAAGATCAGAATTCAAAATGATCTTAACAAATTGGAGAAAGTGTCTGAAACCAACAGGGTGAAATACTCAAAAAGCACAGACCAAAGTGCTCCATTTAGGAAGGAGAAATCAAATGCACTCGTACAAGATGGGTAACGCCTGGGTAAGCAGCAGTGCTGTAGGGAGACATGGGGGTTATACTGGGTCACAAATTAACCGCACATCAGCAATGCAATTCTGCTGTGATAAAGCAATATTCGTTCTGGGGTCTATTTGTAGAAGCATTGTCTGCAAGACAAAGAATTATATATATAAAGGGCTTAGACTCTCAGTCTGTCTGTTTGTAACACTCTTGGAGCACTTTGATTGGTTGTCTCAGCAGCCAATCACAAAGTTTACTGAAATAACCAATAAGAGTGCTCTGCACAGACAGAGTGGTCTGCGGCGTGCCGCCATGACAGCAGGAACGGAGGGGATGGCAGAACAAGCTCTGCCATCCCCTCTCCCCTCTGCTCCTGGGAGGTGGCGGCCACGCAGGGCAGTGGGTGGTGGCGCTCCGTCCCCCTCCACCCCACGTCATTCCTGATGGGCAATTGGCTGGTGTAATTATGCCTTCCTGTTTGGCATTGAGGAACCTCAGCTGAAGTACTGTGTCCAGTTTTCAGTACCACACTTTAAGGAAGCTGATGATAAAATTAGGGAGTCCAGAGAAGAGCAATCGGAATGATAAAGGGCATTAGAAAACCTGACCTATAAGGAAAGGTTGAAGAGATTTGGCCTGTTTAATTTTGAAGGGGAGGAAGTGTAAGAGGCATGGATTTTTCAGTAGATAAAAGGCTGATATGAAGGAGATGGTGACCAGTTTTCTCTTTTTTCCTGGAGGAAGTGCAAGAAGAGGCCTTTACACAATGAACAAAATGAACTTTTCCTTCAGATCTTGCTAGAAGCCCTTCCTACTCTCTTCTGCCGCCCGGCTCCGATGAACTACATCTGCCTGCATAAGAGCTAGTTGTTTGTATTACAGCAGTACTAAAAGGCCCTTGTTAGGGTATGTAGCCCCTTTACACTGTACAGATACACAGGAAGACATGGTCATTGACCCAAAGGGCCCAGTCTGGGTCCCAGCTCTGTAATTATACTCACACAGCTGGACCTGTCTGGTCACACAGAATCACTGAAGCTCCTGAGGCATTGCATGGTTTTGAGGTGTCAAGTGTTTGCCACCAAATAAAGCGGTTGCAGAACTGGGGCTTAAGTGGGAAAAGCCGTAACAAGCAAGTATGGCCAACAACAAAAGTAATGAGATCCCAGGGCTATATCATTTAACAACGAACTCAACTCTGAAGGCTGCTTAGCCCACAGACCCTGATCTAGTAAGCACACGCATACCTGAGGAGTTCCATTGATTTCAGTGGCATTACTTTTGCTTAAAAATAAGCACATGCATCTGTGCTGTTCTGGATCTAGAGTACTCAGCAGGTGAGCCCCATGTGTATTGCTGAATCCCATTTAGCTGCTGGTATAAACTGCTGTCCAGTCCAATTTGTATTTTTTATGATGTGCTGTCTACTTCTCTTATGGCTTCTGTTGCTCAAATTTTTGCCTGTTCTCCTTCATCCCTGCCTTTTAAAAAGGTCTATTTTTCTTCCCCCTCATTCCATTATTTAGTTTTTTCCTATTTCCAGTTTTTTTAACCAGTATTTGTCTCTCGCACCCTGCCCCCCCCCATGCTTACCGTAAGCTGCTCAGTTGCCCAAGACCCCATGCTTCATCCTCCCTCAAAACAGTGACTGCTTTTGTCCTGCAGTTATAGCTCTTTGTTAGCTGTAGTTCATAGATCAGAGGGGGGTCCCAGATGATGTTACGGGGAACTAGGTCTGGAGGAGTGGATGTAGCATGGCGCTGTGGGAATGTGCTGCAGCAGGGGTGCTCGGATAGATTGAGAGGGGCAGGGTTAGGTCTGCGAGGGTGGCCCACCGGGAAGGATCAGACACATTCATAACTTTGTTATTGAAAATGCCTTGGGCAGATGCCACTGCTGGGGACAGAAGGCTGGTCAGGAGTGAGCTACACAACCCCAGCCGACCACTGGGATGATCGAGGAAGGGTAGTGTTCACTTGTCTCAGGGGAATATGACTGACCTACATGGCTAAACACTAGGCCTTATTTCCAGTTTGGGAGAGGAGGGGAAGGGGTAGGTTTAGATTTCCTTGCTGTAGTTGAAGGTCCAGAGAAGCACAAGCATGAGCCCCTCACCCTCACCTGCTGCTCCTTCACTGCTGGGGGGCCTTGATGCTTCACAGCAAGGATGGAGGTTGGTTGGACCTGCTAAATGTTATTTGTTCCCTTTATTTATTTTTCCCAGCAGGCCTTCAGCTGACTCTACGTTCTTGCATGGTTTCTTTCACCACCGCTGTTTTCCAGCTCTGAGAAACTTTGTGTGTGTGTGCGTTTGTATGTTTTTGATCTGCAGGGTTGTTTGTGTGTGTGTGTGCATGTGCGCAGAGGCTGTTTGCTTACATAATGTTCTGCTCCCTGCTGTGCAACTCTGTCCCTGACAGTATCTTTGTACACATGGCTGCAGGGCTTCCTTGCTTTGCATTGGCAGGGAACTTGTGGGATTACAGTAGACTGCTGCTTTTTCCATCTATGGGGGCAGTGA